AAGATCGACCACATCGCGATAATCCATAATTGGCATTCAAGATTGCCAGTAGTACAGGAGCACTCCCCTAGAATCCGACCACGCATTAGTATGCGCCAAGCTATGCATGTGCTTCGATGGGTGTTCCAAACGCACGACGGTTAGACTGTGACAAACTGTCCGATTATCTAACTGTCTTCTAAAATGCGCTAGCTGAAAAGCTAGCACCAACCCCAATCAATCAGCACTGATCGCTTATGAAGAATGCTCTGCATTGTGTTGACTAAGTTGGGTTCTTCCGATCACAGCTCCGGTTGATGCGTACAATTATTACCGATTAATCTGAAAGTTATATTACGCAGCAAGATGATTCTATGATAGCAAATTGATACCATTTTGATGTGAGGGTGGAAATTCAAAGTATGGAATGACCCGGATCCAGGGTGAAAGACTTAGGTGACCGAGGCTTTTGCGTGCGCTCCACGTACTTTCTTCGTGCTATCTGGCAAAAAAAGACACGAATTTTTGTAAANACCCTAAGAAGTATGGTTTTCGATGCTTTTTTCTAGTAGGCTAATGCTCGTACTCGACTTTGTTTTTAGTCCGGTCTCTCCTTGGGAAACCTCGTGATACGCCCGGTCGATAGTATTAGTGAACGCGTCGTTGCCCAGTCCGACCAATACTAACGACCTTGGTAGTGAAGACCTGACGCACAATCAAACGAGATGACACTCGTCTTTCATGAAACCCAAGCTGTGGAGGTTAATTATACGGGTAAACATTCCAAGCTAAGGGCATCAGGACCACAGTGTATTCAAACCAATTTCGGTAAGCACAATGTTATAATTAATTTTTACTTCTTAAAATGCTGTCATGAGCTGTGCCATTCCCTGCCCTGACAAGCCCAGCACAAAGGTGGTCAAACTAAGCTGTATTCACACGAAGGGTGAATTTTCAGCGACTTTCACGAGAATACACTGAAAGTGGAGAAAAAACGTGAAAGAGTATGAAGCAAAAACGAGTGCAGTGACCGAGACGATAGTAATGATTTAAAAATAAATCAATAAACTGACTCATGTGATGCTCCACCAAACCTGCAATTAGTACCCTGTTAAAAAGCGGGCAAGAAAGGAGAATGCTGTTTCTGTATGCGACAGTGCATGCGGGAAAGACCTTATAATGACAGCGGGTACAGGGGGTTGATATGGATTCAAGAAGTTCGTCGTGCAGGCGGTGATCTACGTTGATCAATATTCTACCGCCTACTATTTCACATGTTGATATGCTTGCACTCAATAAAATCAACCAGGACATTCCTGACTATACCACTACATCAGACAGAGTTTTATGGATCTGGAAAATGATATGAAATCCTTTTATAGTTCAGGCCTGGAAACAATGCAGTCAATAGGGGATGCATACGACCACAAATTTGAAATTACATTTGGTGTGACTAGTAATGACGAGGTCAGGCAAAGCATTCGAAGTAGTTGGAGCCAGATTTAAGGTTGAAGGGAACATCAACACATCGGGAAACAATAGGCATAAGCGATCGGGCAGGGACTAACTAAAAAAGGCGTCCAGACTGCATCGAGATTAGTGGAAAGAAACATCGTCAGCACTTACAGGCAACAATGCTGAGAGGTACAGATTGCTTGTGGACAGGGAAAAAGGAAGAGAGAACACAGCGCCCTGAAAGACAAGAGTTAACGCAAGAAGAGGACGAAGTCTTACCAACACATTAGGCAATTTGCGTCCTAAAAGATACGTAGTTTAAAAGAACGTTTAATGGCCTGGATACTAGGCTGTGAATTACAGAATATCTCTCCGGAAGCATCTCGAAGACACCAAATGTAAGTTTAATCAATTGATAAACCTACGTCTTTTATTTATCAATTAATGTATACATTACTCACGGGAAGACGGTTAATGTGATTAGGACGATACGGTTCAATAATGCGAATTAGAAAAAGACTAGAATCATGTATGCAAAACAGCTCATTGTAGCCGGTGAATAGCGCTTTGCTCGCTAACGAATGAGCCTTACTTAAGTCGCTGTTGCTCATTTGCAGCTTAATGTAGCTGATGAACATTGTGCTATTAGTTGACGACGCGCAACTTGGGTTGGACTGAGTTTCTATGCAGTATTTTCGAGCAACTTTCAAAAAAATGATTGCTCATACGGTTCAAGACCGTCGACGAATGACAGTTTGATCACCTGTGGGCATAACAGCTCAGCTTCAGTCATCAACGGAAATCTGTGATCTTAGCTAACGGACAAAAACTATAAGATAAAGACCGAACTCAGAGATCAGCAGCAGTGAATGGAATTAAGGTACAAGTAAATATCAATCGTGGCGGAATAGACTTACCATGAAACTATTCAAAGGTCGAGGAATACTATCCTTCCTTCGTTTTTTCTTCGATTCCGTAATTGTGGTGTACGGTTTCAGCGCAGCGGGACCAATAAGTCGAGCAGCGCGGTCACTGGGCCATTCACTGGGTAAAACGTGACTTTCTGTGAGATGTCGCATCCATACTTGCAAGCCGCCAGTTTTGGCTGAAGCACAGTTGGAACATTCTTGCATCCACATATTCTATTCAATGTGTGAAACTTCCGAGTTCGGCTATGTGAAAGCACTAAGGGTCGGAGGAATCACGCGCTCACCAGCGACCGAGACACATTAAGAACAATTGCAATTGCAGCGACGATCTGATCTGTGGATTATTTTTATTGCCACTACTTCTGCCTTAAAAGACGTGCGACCAATCAGAATGGAGCACTGCCTACACAAGGAGGGCAACACGGGAGGACACGACAGCCCTCGTGCAAAGAGACAACCTAAGAGGCAGTCCCAGGGTCCATTTTATAAACGACCGAGCAGGTGAGAGGACATGAGTGCGTCCGTAGGCATCGAGGGTCACTCGGCTGTCGTGGATTGGTTAGTTTCTCCCTGCCTGTCCCGGCAACGTTCGGGTGTGTATTGGTGTGTCTGTGCCCTGTTCACCCAGCCGAACGCGCGTTTTCAACCGTCACCATTGTGCTAAAGCGTCGTATGTGCGTGTGGAGAGTCGGGACACCCGCGAAGCACGATGCGCTACGTGACAAAGACAAACTCGCGCGCAAGTCCATCTACAAACCGAACTTCGTCACATGTGCCCGAAATCGCGTATGCGTGGTCTGACCGTGAAACAAGGTCAGATCACACGCATCGGCTGAGTTTAGAGTGTATCCGCAGTTGTGCGGGTCCGAGCGGGAATCTGAATGGACTGACTCAAACAGGCGCTCTACTACCTCATAGCAGACATGTAAACACTGGTTTCGACTGTTGCTACTACGTCACGTGTTTGGATGGTTTGGCGGTGGGTTTTACGCACCCAGTAGAGGCTGGTTCGGATAAAAGTTTTATTAACAGCGTCAGCTCTTTTAGGACGCGGCCATCTTGAGGTTACATCAAGCGGTAGATTTTTATCGCTTCGGAGTTTACAGCCATATGTGTATCCTGTGTTTAGTACAGTAATGGAATGTCATATGATGCAAACTTAAGCTTATTCCAGAGTAGACGGTAGCTTCAATAACCATTCGGTAGTTAGTTCAAATCCTATCGCTTCATGTATGCGAAACGAAGTAAACACAAGAACAAATCCAATTAATTATTACATAACTGTTATTTTTAAAGTTAAATATATATTTTAGTAACTTGCACCCTAAACCGATTTAAACAAAAGCTACGAAAAAGCCAAAGTTTTTAATGGGTTTCCGGAAGTATTTCGTTGCAACTCAGCTGGTACTTACTACAGAAAAAATGGATTCATCCATTAGGGAACACTGAGTCTTGGTAAAGGAGAGGGAGTAGTCTTACACCTCACCATGGTCGAACCAGGTTGACTTAAATGTCATTCTATCGGAAAAGAGTGTATTGACATCAACGAATTGCTACTGTAAGCCATGGTAACCGATTTCTTCTTTTACAGAACTGAACACCGCCTTGAAAACAGAAAAGGTTGACCAAATGACATCAGTATTTAACAATCTGTTCAAGGATACGCGGGAAAAGGTTTTTCTATTGTTATGGATAAAAGATGCTCGATCGCGGTAAAATAACTCGTATTAGTAGTAATCTGATCTCATAATATCGTGGCACTCATTGTATCGTTCTGGTGAATAAAATGGGTACACTAAATCAGCTGTGAATTATTCTTACATTTTCTGGTTTCAGTGGTACTTGTGGTATTTTTATTGTAGAGACGGCATAGAAAAAGTTAAGTGCGTGTATAATTTTTATGCGCGTCGTGTATGCGGCTGTGCAGCTATTTAACACGTGTGGTAGAGAAGGACACGGAACTTTAGCCGGTATTCGCAGACAGAAATTATATTTCCACCGAAGCGATTAGGGCCTAAATGTAGTAGTAGTAATATACTGCTCACTTGTGAGTAGTACGCAAAAGATGCGATCGGTGGTTTCTTTCAACGACCAAAAATCAACAAGACCTGTTGGAGCAAACTGCTGATATTCGGTATGGTGAATACAAGAATGAGCATCTAATGGTGACTCGTCCATAAACTATCCCGTGTGCTTGTGGGAAATCTGCAGCCCTGTTCCATATGTTGAATGAACAAAAATTTAACCATATCTCGAAAGCTATTGGCAATAAACAACTATCCTTGTGCAATTATAACAGTAGTAGTAGTAGTAATAATAATAATAATAATAATGATAGTAATAATGATAATAATACGCACGAAACCAAACCACGCAATGGGAATCACAGGACACGAATCAAGGATCAGCTATCACGGACTGGATCACGGAAGCACTGGACCGCAATGGTACGAGTTCGCACGTGATCGAGACGCGAGGAAAAGGCCACAAGACTGGTAACCCGTAGTTCGTTTATTGGAAGAAATGAGCGCGATTAAAACATATGTACAAAAGAAGATCATTGGTTATCTAAGCTTCCACCAATTATGTTGCAGTATTGCTTGCATAATTCTGCTTCTGTCTGGACTGCACTGTCTCGAACTGGCTGGCACGTTCCACAATTGGCATCGTCCTGTAGGCCTGGATCACCATACAAAACAATCATCCGAAGAACATTTATAAATGTAACAAGATTGGCCTTTAATTCATAGTTTCTGCTCCTACGCCTCTCCACTAGTATTCATACCCCAATCACATTGCATTTGGCTAGATTGATATTCAAATCCCATGCAGCCCTTAGCAAATTATTGTCTCTTTGTGACAGATTGTCCGTATGATATTGGTGTTAGAATCAAAAATGATAATGTACAACAGATGATTGAGTGCGAAAAGGTTTCTGAGAGGAATCTAATTCAATTTGCAGAACTGCTACGACAATCTGTATCAGAATCGTGAATGGAATTCATTCTCAAAATACCACCAAAGTGATGGTGGTGGTGCTTCGAATGTATAACTTTCAAAAAAATATGAAAGTAACATACTCAATTGATCACCAAACCTGTGGTGATCCTAGCCTACGAAATAATGCCGGCTACGGTGCGATGCATTAAATTTTTCGGGCAACAAAGTATAGAGCAATAGTAACGTAAAATTAGAAGCCGTGCTTTTCAAGTGGAAGCTGTACGACGTCAATCATGCAAACAGGCGAGACCCTATTTGAACAAACATTTCTTCGCACATATTATTTAATCTCAATGATTTTCTTCAATAAAGGTACTACTAGTCCGGTGGCCATTTTATGCACCCTGGTGACGGGAGACTCCAGCCTAGGATCGCTAATGCGATTGCTGGGGTCATTAACGACTGTGATTCGCGATTTGTGATTCTTCCATATTCCGAGTACTACAGAACCACAACCTTTAATGCACACTGATTTTCGCGTTGCGACCTATCCGGTGATAATGACGTAAGTAAACAACTGTCTATGACTGGTAAAAAGTAGGAACTCTCTGGGTTCCAAGTTAGGTTTAGTTCGTCAAACACCACAAGCGCATTTGCTCACGTTCGGTTCGCTCAATAACGGTGTTGTAAAAGGTGTGATAATATAACTACATGAACGTATCCTCATACTGCAAGTTTAGAGGAATTGTGTCCGGGTTCTTTTATTGACGGTCCAAACAGGATGAACCCCTTTAGCCCCATTCAAACGGGCTAGCTCGGGCATTTTCAGAATCCTCATGTCATAAACCTAGTCAAATGCGAACCGTGCACTTGGTGCAACGTCCGTTCCGCTAACCATTGCAGCTACCAGCATTAACAAACATCCTTGGTGCGTGGCATACTGTGTTCGTGTGCGCACGTTTGTGATTAACTTAAGAGAAACCTGGTTGACGGGAATACATGGCAGTGCTATGTCTAATCTCCTGCCCGAACTATGCTCTCCTGTCTACAGTCCTGTATGTCGCATCACTAACACCAACTCATCACTTTCAGAAGGGCAACAGTTTTACGCAGCCATGTGTGATGATGGTAAGAGTCTTTCAAATGTTAATTTTTTGACACCAAAAGGAAGATCTATGCTCGCCAACTAATTGGAACCAGGCTAATATGGACGAGCTATCTATCCGTCTACGATGTCCAACGTATTTGCCTTAAATAGCATCTTCCATCTGCTATTCCCAGGCGGTCCCGTGTCCATCATATCTTTTCGGTTCACAAAATTTTCTTTTATCAGGTCAATGAACCTGATGGTGTTCGGTCATGACCTCGAAGACATTTGTTGTTCTTTTTTAGACCACTGACTGAGGGTTTCGTGGATAACCCAAACGTTTTGTCTCCGATCTCTGTGGTTCGCTTCGCAGTTTCTGTTGCTCCCTTCCCTCCTCCCTTCGCCAACCACCACCGATGCTCTCTCTTCATCCATATACGTCAATATTCGACAAACTGGGTCGTTCAAAGATTTAGTGGAACTGTGTTTGTTCCACTTCACTTACTCTGATTTCCTGTGCAGACGGTTAATACTGGGACGGACCACATGACTCGTGCGTTACAGATCCGGGACTATCATATGTCCTGATGCTGGGATGCTCTTACAGAGCATTTCTCAACCGAATGCTTGTGAGAATCTCGCCAAAATGACCCGAACTCCTGTGGCGATTTAGGGAGAGCGATTAAACACACACACACACATACAGAGAGAGAGAGCTAGCTACATATGGATACAATAGCACATGACATGCATACCTGCTACGACCACATGATGCTCGTCCGTGCGGAAATCGGGTCGACTTGAGAGAATGAATGCGAGAGGTGGTGTTGCAGTTCGTCATGAGAACGAGGGAGAGAGTTTGGCTGAGGATAAACATGTCCGGGGATAGCAGCCGATGCCATACTTAAATGCATTCAACTAATGGGGAGTGAACGATCTCCCAAGCAGTGAAACCTACACCGAAGATCATCAACAGTGTCTGGTGCCTGTGAAAAACCGAATGGGCTAATCCAAACATTCACCATTTCAATTCACCGTATAAACTTTGAATATTCCCATGATAGAATTCAGCAAACTAGTCGATGAACGAATAATTGTTTTCGGATATTCCTAGTCATGTCATATAGTGGGAAAATGCTTACATAATGAGAGTCATTAGCTCTACTTAAGATGACCAATCGGA